AAAAGTAATATTATTAACCGAAATAACAACAACAACAAAAATAATGATATTATTATATATAAAAAAATAATAACAAAACAAATTATGTAATGATAAATTGTTTGGTGATGTTGTTGTAATATCATAAAGACGAATCAAAACAATATAAATACTAAAAGAAAATACAACATGACACGATTTAAAAAATGTATGTAATAACTTCAAAATTTTATATTGTTTCCTTTATTGTTGTTGTTGTAACATAAAACAAATAGTTTCTAACTAAATTTTCATAAATACTGGGCTGATAATAATTCTTATCTGGATATAAAACCGATTCGGTCTCACTTGCAGAGACCACCGACCGCTGTCCTTGGAACGATGTCAAACAAACACGTGTACGAAATTTGTTGTTGTCGCATAATTTTACATAATTTTCAAAAATACGTTGCTTATAGAAAAACCAAAAAAATAAAGTTAACAGCCACCCGAGCTTCACTCCAATAACCGGTACAACAACACTAACCAGAACAGTTTACGAACGCCTCAAAGAAAATATGCGTTCAAATCTTTACACTCTCATGATTTCCAAAAAAAGTGTGACTACCGTTTGTAATATTTTAAATACAACAAAACATATGTACATATAACAAACATATGTAAGTATGTACATAGGTGTATAATGATATATTGGTTAAGGAAGCATTAACCGTCTAATGCATACAATGAAATGATGTTTGATGCAATCAAACGTATGTATGTACAAATAATATATAAATGTATATATGGATGTGTATATGTGTATATTATGTATATGCATACATATGTGCGAGTACGATCGTACAAAAATATTTGTGTGCTAAAAAACAGCAATCCCCTTGATTGTAAAACGAAATGTTTAACAGGTGTTCCATATACTTGTTATTTAGGTGTGTACATACATATACATATACATATGTATGTGTAAATATTTTGTGCAATTTTTTCTTTGTCATTACCGCCAAATTGTTAATTACGTACAAGATGTTGTTGATACACGCCTCGAAACTCGAGTATATGGTGCATGTCCTCATCTACAGTGATTGTCCGATAAAACAAATAAACAATAAATATAAATTTTGTGAAAGCAGCATAATTTTTTTTATTAAACCCTGAACATATTGAGTTTACCAAAAGGAAACGTTGGAGGCCCTATAAAATATATACATATGTATATAAATGATCAGCATGACGCGCTGAGTTCATTTTGCCATGTCCGTCTGTCTATTTATAAAAAAAATGCTGTTATACAAATTTGTCAGTAACACAAACCTGTGACAGTTTCGTCGCGTTAGGAACACTTTAACTACAATTACTATGAAATTGCAAGAAATACAATACATACATATGTATGTACTCAATTCAATAAAAGCTGGCAAGATTGCGCTTTTTTTTAAGTTCCCTAACCTAAATTATTTTTCTTTGCATTCCATATATAAATATATTATATAATTCAAAATTATGCTCACAAAGGTTACGCTCGAGTATAACACATTTCAAGTAAAGCATAAAGAATACTTAAACAAAGCTTGCAATGGGCGATCACTGTATCGGTATGAGAATATGGTACAAAGGGAGTGAGAGTAGTTAAAACTCTCTGACAAGTCGAGATCGCACGATGTTGTCACAAAGATTGTTGATGTTGCTGACTTCGAGAAGTGAGAAAGAGTTTTAAACCAGTTTATTCAACAAACATACTGTACTGCTAATATGAATATGTACATAAATGTGTATGTTTTGTCGTGTATGTATGTAACTCAGACAACTGAGCGTTTTTTATCTTAAATGTAATGCACATTGGGTTAATCTTATGACTAATTTATATAGATTAGTTCAAAAATTCTGGGATTACCACTGAAACAGGCAGATAGTGTGACGTCACGGCTTACAAAATAATACACCTAAATACATATATATGTATATGTGTATGACTGCCCAGATCAACTAATGTCTTTACAATTGAATTATAATCGCAAATGACCCTAATACACACTTTGCATACCTAAACACCGAGGGCGTGGTAAAGCTTTGATACGTTCAAGAATTTTCAAAAAAAAAATGAATTAAAAATATTTTTAACTACGTGTTTTTAGCGCATAATAATAGCTATTTGGGTTTTTTGATGATTTTTTTTTAATAAAGCACAAATTAGCTTTAAATATTTGCTGGCACTTTAAACACTTTTGCACTTTAACATTTAATTTAGTACATAGCTTCCATAAAAAAAAAAAAAAATAATAATCAACTTTATTAGGTTACGCACTTGCCAATGTTAAGTTTATATATTCACAAGGTATGTCACTACTTTTCAACTGGCTCAACCACTCGCGAAGCGAAACTACCACAAACTGAAGACAACTCCAAGTGGTCCGAGCCGCTCTAACTGACAATATGACCGCAAATCAAACTTGCTAGTGACTGTGAATGTAAGTGTCGTTGTCGTTTTAACGTTGATGTGTATTTTTGTATGCGCTTGCTAACAACAATCATACGCGGCTAATAGTATATACATATATAAATACCAATGTATGAATGTATGTATAGAGGTATGTACAGGTGCGTATAAGTATGTGCATACTAGTATATTCAAGAAAAGCTTATTCAGTCATACTTTTAAGAACTTTTGAAACACATATGTTTGCCTGAATGCCTAGAATGTGTACTTACTCTTTATAAACATTATTATAGTATTGTCAATTATTTTTAATATAAACAATCATAACAATAGTTCTATTTACACGTTTGCCATTATTATGCTATTAAAGCAACAGCTAAGCTAGCAGCGAATCTTGTACTGAAGATGTTGAAGCCTCCTCCTTATAACATAGGCGTTTGATTTTATGTTGACCGTAGGTTCTATGGTTACTATTAAAACACCAACCTAATTAAACATCTGTCATAAGTCTCGGTCCATCACACTTGCCTTGATTGAATGAATAAGCCAACTTCTAGTTCTAATTGTGAACAGAGGCAGCAAATTCTAAACTTAAATTGTTTTTTTCCTTTGTGTAGCTGCTTAAAATTTCCCAAAATAGTTTTGAAAAATCCTGCTGTACTGACATATCTTATACATCCGGATCCGTTTGTACACTTACTTCTTCTTCGAAATGTAAAAACGAAGAATATAGAGAAATGTACAAATGCGATATTTCAACAATAACTAACAATAATAAGTATAAATTTGTTAACAAATCAGTTGTTCAAAATATTTTTAAAATACATGAATATGTTTATCAATATTATTTCATGCTTAAAACCGCATTATATTTAATATCAAATGGAAGAGATTTTCTTATTAATATCGATATTATTTTATTGCTATAAAACATCGACCACATAACATTTCAAAACTTGGTACTCCACTTGACTACTTCCTGTGTTCAAACAAGGACTCTTTTATCGCGGAAACTGGTTTTTGTAGGGGAGGGGATAATGAAGAAACACGAAAAGACTATGGCGCTCGTGCTTACGTTGACACGCTTTGTGTTCGTATTCGTAACAGCTCGTTGTCGCAATGCGGCATTATTTCTTATTTTGAAATTCTTTCCTTGCAATTGCGCTCGGTTTCGACATGTTCGAAAATTTGAAGATAATTTTCAGATAATAAAATCAGTTTTTTGTATGTACCATGTATATATATGCAAATATGCATAATACAATTGAAATGTTTTAGAAAAGGTTGAATCAGGAAAGTAATTCAAAATGTTTTGTGCACCGCGGACATTAAGTGGAGGGAATGCGGAAAATTCTCCGACTCAATTTGCTCGTGTGAAAAGAGAATTTGCCGATAATAAGCGACGAAAGGGTCATAATCATATAAGTAATAATATACTGACTATAATTTTCACAATCATTTGTTTAATAAAAGAGTGAAAGTCTTATATAAATAAAATAATTAAATTATTTTATAATATATTATTTTACGAAATATAATTTCAGAAGAATTTGTATTAGGACATTTAACGATTTAATTTAATGCTACTTAATTATTCAAAAATGGCAACGCTTGCATCATATGACTTACGATATTATAAATATATCGAGAGGCTAATATCGAAACTCATCAAATTAAAATATCAGCACAATTTTCTTGTGATTTTATTTGGTTAACAATTTATTGTTAAATCGACATAATAGCAATTTGGGAGAAAATATATAGTGAAATTTAAAAAGATGACCCGGTCTCGAATAATATGGCTGCTTCTGTCTTTTCTGTTTAGTATCAGCAAATCAGAATTGGTGATTGGTCAAGACGATCTGAGCGAGGAATTAGCTGGCCTTTTTACAATTGAAGGAAAAGTGTTTGCTCCGGAGACACAAAGCAAAGGGCAATCTGAAACTTCAATATCTATAAATGGTGGTGAATATAAAGGGTTTTTACGAGATGATGGTACATTTATTATAAGCAGTGTACCCTCCGGAAGTTATGTGTTAGAAGTACACAACCCCGATTATTATTATGAGCCAGTACGTGTGGAGATTAATCCCAAGGGTAAATTCCGTGCTCGTAAAGTAAACTATGTTCAGCCTTCACAAATCATACAAGTGCCATATCCTTTGAAACTTAAAGCTTTTACTCGTTTCAAGTACTTCCAGACACGTGAGCAATGGAAGGTAAAGTGCAACATCTTACGATACCATATAAGTACAACATCATTGACAAATTTTTCTCCTACTAACAGATCACAGATTTTTTGTTCAATCCAATGGTCTTGATGATGGTACTACCACTTTTAGTTATGCTTGTTCTGCCTAAAATGATCAATGATCCAGAGACTAAAAAGGAAATTGAAAATATTCAATTTCCAAAAGTAAGTACATAAACCTTAAATCTGTTCTTATGTTAATAATATTTGTATGCTCATTGAATAGGTGAGTAACGAGATGCCAGAGATCAGCGAAATGATCACATCGTTTTTCTCGGGCGCCAAACCACCCGAGAAGGAAAAGAAGCCAATTTCAACCAAACAAAACAAAAAGCGGAACTAATACAAAATAGGATTTATTATATTAAACCTAATTTCCCATTATAAAAAAATTATGTAAAGTTTATGGAAGTATTAAGAGCCTCAAATAAATTATCAGCGTACTTGGGTTTATATTTTTGTCATTTTATTTAAGAAAACCTATGATATTTCGGCGTTTAGAACCTACACGGCTTTCTTCGAGTTTCAATGCTTTTAACAACTCGTTATTTAAGTTTTCAGCGGCTGATAGACCCAGTAATATGCAATTATGCATGGTATCCTTGTGCAAAGAACCTTCTCCAATTGTATGCACGTTAGATGTATAATCTAAAAGAGAAGAGATTTAAGAAGAAGCAATTTCGAATTTAAAGCTCTTACTTTTTCCATTTCTTTTTGAAACGCCGACTACAACGCTTGCAATGCTACACTGTTCTTCCTCTGCTGAAGGATCTACAACACACGAATCACCAATTTTGCACACTGTTACCAGAATAGGCAAGTTTTCAATTTGAATACGAGTACAATCATATGGATCATCCGATATTAATAATTCGGCTTCTCCAGCATCCATAAGCGCCGCCGTCACACGTGGTATTTTTGTGTTAAATAAAGCTGCCTTCGCTGCCAAAGAAACTGCATCGAACAAATTTCCTCCACATTCTAAAATCTAAAAAAAATGTATATAAGCTTAACATTTTTTGAAGGATATTTAATTAATTTACCAAAATATCGACGAAAAGTTTCCAGCATTGTTGACCCGGTAATATACAAAGGGTTTTCAAATTAAAGGCTTTTGGAGACTCATATGCATTTGTTAAAGTATCGGCCAACTCTAAAGCCAATTCCTCACCACCACGTCCTTCGAATTCTGGAGCAGCGTTTGCAGAACTAATATATATATTGACAAATTAATAAACTGACAAACCTTTTATTATGAAATAATAATTACCAATCGACGAAAAACTCTATTTTTCCTTGATCTGGTGTTAAATAATTTGGTTTATCAATTTCGGTTTTAATTCCAACTAATACATCGGTGTTTGCCAAACGTAATCTGGCAGAACCGCTGGCATTACTAACCAAATCGGTTTCCAGTTCCATTGGCCGATAGTCTCGTCGTGATCGCCCATCGCAACGAAAGTCCTCCTGCAAACTTCGAGATTGTAATAACATAAATTATTATTTACCAAAAAATAACCACCTCCACGCCGTGTAATATAAAAGTTTTCTCCGCTTCACTTAAAGAAATATTTGCCATTTTTAATTAAAGAAATATTCCAAAATTAAATTGTTTTATTATTTTATTAGTTGAAGTCAATCGTTTGTGACAAAAGAAACAAAAATAATTAAACAATTATTTGTTTTTAATGTTGACCACAAGTTGCTTGAGATCATAAAATGTGAAATAAAAAATAAAGCTATCGTGTTTCACCATATGTGTACGATTTTATCGATGTTTTATTATTATCGATGTATTACCGTACATGTGACAATAGGAACAGCAGTGTTTTATCCGTTAACTGTTAAGAGCATTATTTAAAGTTTATCCTAGATATATTTTAATTATTAATGAATATTCTATGCTGCAATTAAAACAATGTTTACATTGTGTTTACAATTTCGAATTCACAATTATTCACTATTTAACAAAAAATACCAAAACAAAATAAACAAGTCCAGTAAATTTATTAAGGTTTTTTCAATGTCTAGTTAGCAACTGTCAGGATAGTTTTGGTTAACTCAACGTCTTAACTCCTTCCGACTCCTTCTTTCGGTTGAGTTAACTAACTTCCTACTTAACGGCCTTCCCAAACAACTCTCATACATAATGCAAATATACAAGGCTGTCTCCCAAGGAACAAATTCCGGCTACTTGTCGCTTTCTACACCGGCCACTGCAGGCTTAAGAAGCACCTCTTCAACATGGGCATAGCTTCTTCTGCAAACTGCCGGTTCTGCGACATAGAGCCGGAACCCCCTGAACATCTGCTGATGAACTGCACAGCAGTCTGCAGACGCAGAATCAAGGTCCTGGGATCCATGTTTCCACACAGGGATTGTATCGCCTCACTAGCCCCCAGCAGAATTTTGGAATTTATCAACATGCTGGGCCTAGATGATACGATTTGACTTAGGGAACGGCACAATAGACCATAGGTCGCGGTGCATACCTCGATATTAATCTATCTATCTATACAAGGCTGTGTCGATACGAAGCGTGCTTCCTCTTACAAAAAGGTATTTTAATCCATAATGCCAAAATCAGCTGTTTTTTCATACATTTTCTGCATATATTTTGATGATTTTGTCTGATTTACAATCTGAAAATAGAGACAAAACAATACAAAGCAAAACAGCAACAGACATAGTTTTCAATAATTACAAACGCTGTAAAGAAATACAATAAATTAGAAATTGTATCAACATAACTATTAAGTGAAAAACTTTCTTAAACTTTGAACTTCTTTCTATGTTATTATCCATAGTAGCATAATGTTAAAATTTTCGATTCATATTGATATATTGTACTGTGTAGGGAATTAATGTCGGCAACACTGGTAGCTTTTGACACAACCACAAAAAAGAGATAAGACGTACACAACGATATGGCAACGATGGCGATGACGCACTCAATGTCAAAACGAAAAATATTTTTTATATAGATAGAAAGCAGAAAAGTTGTAATTGGAGTAAAATTATCCAAATATTGATATATTCTTATTTTTAAGTGTGTAAAAAAGATAAAGTTGAGAAAAATGAGTTTCTTCGGGAAAATGTTTGGTGGCAAAAAGGATGTGGCGCCCACCACAGGCGAAGCCATACAGAAACTGCGCGAGACGGAGAATATGCTTATTAAGAAACAGGAATTTCTAGAGTCAAAGATAGAAGAAGAACTGAACATTGCCAGGAAGAATGCATCGAAAAACAAAAGAGGTGAGATTTTTACTGTATTGCAGTGAAAGGAATTATTATTTTACAACCATTAGAACATTTATAGAATGTTCATGTAAATTGCGTATCTCTTACCAATTGTCAACAGAGAAGAAGAAATGACTCATTGTTGACTATTAAACATCTCTTTTTTGTCTTCTTCCTTCCATTTTCTTAAAATAATGCTACAACTGTGGGTACTATTCATCCCATTCCGGAATTCATCTATTTCTACCAATGATTAGAACGTAATGTTAAATATAAAACTATTTAATCAATATATATTTTTTATGCACAAAAATTATGTGTCCAACCAAGAAACACCACGGCAATTTAAAATTATCTTCTGACGTTTTATAATGAACATTGGTAAACTTGCTACATATGTATGTATTCGTACACCTATAGGCAAATGTTAAATTATAAAAACTCTTAATATATTATTCAGCATTTATATATTTTCCAATACACTATACTTATTTCTTTAAATTTTCAGTTGCATTACAAGCGCTTAAGAAAAAGAAGCGCCTCGAAAAACAGCTACAACAAATTGATGGAACGCTTTCGACTATTGAAATGCAACGCGAAGCATTGGAAAGTGCTAATACAAATACCGCCGTCTTGACAACAATGAAAAATGCGGCTGATGCACTCAAAGCCGCACATAAAAATATGTTAGTTCACAAATATTTTTTAATTTCTATCAAATTCGTCAATGATCCTTTTTATCATATTTCAGGGATGTGGATAACGTTCATGATATGATGGATGATATTGCCGAGCAACAAGATGTGGCCCGTGAAATCTCCGATGCTATATCAAATCCAGTTGCTTTTGGTTCGTATACTAACAATAGCATGAAAGTATCGCTGTTGTCTTACGCTAACTTCTATATTTAATATGCAGGTGCTGACCTTGATGATGAAGATCTGGAGCGTGAATTGGATGAATTAGAACAAGAAGAGTTCGATAAAAAAGTTATTGGCATACCGGAGCCAAATGTTACATTACCCGAAGTACCAGCCGACGAAATGCCGGAGAAAATTCCTGAGAAAAAGAAAGCCACTGCACCTGCTTCGACAGCACAGGAAAATGATGGTAAATATTTTGTTATGCTGGAAATTGCAATAAAAAATCGAATGAGGCTTTTACTGTTTTACAGATAATGACCCAGACATGAAACAGTTGCTTGCTTGGGCCAATTGATTAGTTTATAATTCTCTTTAACCATGGTGTGACATCTGTGTATGGATTAGCAACTTGAATTTAAATAAAAAATGCGCAGTGGTTGATTCTATTATCGTACGAAACTAGATGGAAAAGTAAAATAATCTACACATAAATACTTTACCAAATACTATTTCCAGTTGCTTGCTAATGGGAAAAATATTAATTTTTAATTTTGAAACACATAACGCCTATTTGTATTTTACTTTATGCTTGCAGGAATAGTGTTGTATTGGTAAATATGTTTTACGAAGTCAAAATTGTGATAAAGAATATCTCGCTACATTTATGCTTTAATAATGACGTGTGTACATTCTTTGATTAGGACATATATAAAGCTAGATACATCTCACTGCTATCCCGGCGGCAGAACAATTATTATTATTATTTTTAATATATTGCCTTCTTGTAATTAAGGTATATTAAAATAAAGCAACCCCAAGGGCTTATCTTCATTTTTTGCCAACTAGAATTGAATCCGTGAAAAAAATATTTTAGATTGAAGATAATTTTATTTAAATACACTAAATTACAGTGTATCAGTTTCGAATACTGCCTGTGGAATTTTTTTTTTGCGTGTTTAATAGTGATAGATCTTAATAAAGAACTATAAAAAACTGCTGGTAAAATAACCAACTAATCATAAAAACTTTTAAAATAATTGCATACACACGAAAAAATTGAAATTACTGATATATTTACTTTTTTGTGAACTATTGATATCAACAATTAATTAACAAACAAACACGGAGCTTGTTCAGTCTTTCCAACAAACACGTGTGAATACATCTTAAGTTTTCGGTAACTATTTGACAGACGTCGATATATAAAGTTATCGATGACTTCTGAACAACACTATTCACAACCAAAACAAAATAATCACATTAAAACGGTTAAGAATGCGAGAGTAAATGAGTTTTTATTAAAATAATGGCAAATCGTACAGTTAAAGAAGCTAAAAATATCCATGGAACAAATCCACAATATCTTGTTGAGAAAATTATACGTTCTCGCATTTACGATTCGAAATATTGGAAGGAACAATGCTTCGCGCTCACCGCCGAACTTTTGGTGGATAAAGCTATGGAGCTTCGATTCATCGGTGGTGTTTACGGCGGTAATATAAAGCCAACACAATTTCTTTGTCTTACACTTAAAATGCTACAAATTCAACCCGAAAAGGATATTGTGGTGGAGTTTATAAAGAATGAAGAGTTTAAATACGTTCGTGCACTGGGAGCGTTTTATTTACGGTAAGTTCATAAAAAAAATTATATGAATTGAAAGGAAAAAAATTATTTTTTCTTTTTACATTCATAGTCTCACTGGAAGCGCTTTGGATTGTTACAAGTACTTGGAACCATTATATAACGATAATCGTAAGCTCCGTCGCCAAAATAGGGCAGGCCAATATGAAATTGTTCACATGGATGACTTTATAGATGAGTTACTCCGTAGTGATCGTGTGTGTGATATAATATTACCGCGTATACAAAAACGTACAGTACTTGAGGAAAATAATGAACTAGAACCGAAAATATCCTCCCTCGATGAGGACTTAGATGATGATGTGGTTAGCGATGAAGAGGGTGGTGTAGATCGAGATGATGACAAAAATAAATCATCGTTTTCTTCTAAGAAAAGATCACGCAAAGATAACTCTCGTTCACGATCGCGTAGTCCTGTTGCTGCGCGTGACCAAAGAACTGGTCGTGCTCGTGATTATGATAACGAGTTAGAAGATTATAGTCGACAACGTGAACGCGATCGAGAGAGAGATCGATTTGGTGTAAGTTCGTCATCAAGCAGTAATCGCCATTGGGATGATCGTTCTGGCGGAACAAATAATTATCGTGGTGGACGTGATGATTATAGAGATGACTACAGGCGAGACGATTATAAAGATCGGCGTTACGACAACCGCGATTCTCGAAATGATCGGGATAGAAGGCGGCATTAAGCACTTTATATGTATGTATGTATGTAATAAAATAAAAAAAATACACAAAATAGTATAAAAACAACAAAAAGAGCTAAATTTTGATTAATTATTGGATATTATCTGCTGATACTTTAACTATAAGATCTGTTAAAGAGTTAAGATGATGTGTCCTTATAAGGATTATTATATGTCGTTTCAAATAATTTCTATCCGATATATGGAAAAATATTTTGATCAAATTCAATACATAAATTTTTATATTTTGTTTCGCTTTATTAAATTTCTTAAAATAAATTTAAAAAATAACGTCTTAAGATTGCTCACGTTTTGAGAAAATCAATAATTTGACTTCATAGCTTTAACTTACGGTATATAAAAAATATAATTATGATACAAATCAACTATCATATTTTAACACTTACAACTAAGTTCTAAAAGTTCTAACAATAATTTCAGTATGCATGTTAAAGTTATTTCACTAATTTCGCCATATTTGGCTTCGTTGAGGCAGTCCCGTTCTTGGTATTAGATTCTCCTTGGCATAATTGCTTTTTAAAATGATCCTCGAACATTGCGCGTATGTCGGCCAATGCTTTACAGATATTATCACCAAAGCGATGAACATCCTAAAATACAACAGAAAATATGAAAATTTAAACTTTTATAAATATAAAAATTCCACTCCACACTCTACTCACCGTCTGCTTGCAGTTTAATTTAGCTGATATGTGGAAGAATATTAAGTTTTCGCCCGCTATAATATATGATACACCGTAGCCGTCGTCAGCGACCGGTCCAAAACCGCCACCTGAGCTTATACAGTTTGGATGTTTCTTTAAATCCATTTTCGGCGTTTGTCCGTGCGGCGTTTGACTGGTAGACAAGCGCCATGGCTCGCTCAATACCTCATTGAGGAATGGCGAGTCAACTTCTAGATATTTAGAAACTACGTAAAGACAAAACAGATGCCGATCAATACCACGCCCACACATGGCATCTTGATAGCCCAACTGATGACGATCACACGCCTTCTGTAAAAGCTTTACGCGCTCCTTGCTCTAGACAAAATCAGAAAAGAGTTAAACAATTGAAACAATGAAAGTATTATTTAAGAGAATGTATAAGGATATCTCCAAAATAATAAAATTATTCACTTACTGTTGTATTACTGTCCTGCATTGCCTTAACCCAAGCCGCTGATTCAATTGTACATGGACGCACGGTTTCTGTACGACCTTCACGGAACAGGCGTGTCATAGATGCTTCATATGTTAATGAGAATCGACCAGCGTCACGGTAGTAAGCTAACTGTAAGGCCATTTGTATATACGCATCGGGAGATAATCGACACTTTTTCATGAAACCTTTTCCATACTCGTTATGTACAAGAATGCGTAGGTCCACATCCTAGATGTATAAAGTTTTATTAATATATATATGTAGCTGTGTGTATGCATATATGAAGGGACTTACATTTATAAGTTTGGTCGCATCCAGCGTCGCCTCTTCAATTTGTGGTTGCAAAGCCGTGAGATCCCAACTCAAACGTGTGGGTGGCGGTGGCTGAAATTCGGGTATTCCCTTTGTATTTCCAGCCTCATCATATCTAGTATATATACATAAATAAGTTTTGATATGTATATTTAGCAAATGTATGTAAAAATGCATGCTACGTTAGACCATTTAACGAAGGCGAGACAAAAGTTTCTGCTGTGAAGAAGTCTACAATACTATATACACATACATGCATATGTACATAAATACTTTTTTGTTAATGTCGTTTGTTGTTTTTCAAACTACTTCTACTATATTTACTTATTACACAAGCACAAAAATAAAAAGTGGTTACAAAGCGATTAATTTTAAACAACTACTAACTAATTAACCTTAAGCATAATGTAAACAACCACAAAACCAAGCACAATTACATATTAGAACATTTAGTGAGCAAATACATTACATATAAACATGTGATGGTATTTATGTTGGTGCACAAATCTATTACCCATATATATCATCACCGAAAATATATTCCCAAAGATGACCCATAACCGGTGCATCAGCCCTAAAATATTTGGAAAGAAATATTACTTGAAACAGCATTCAATAAGTTTCGGCATACATATTTACAAAGATTCAAATGCATTTATATGTATGTAAGTGTGAAATTGTTTATGCTGCAATATTGACAATACTTTAATTTTTGCGAAAGGCTTGCTTAACTTTTCTGAAAAAATATTTTTTAAATATTTAATACGCTGAGAGTAACAGGTTGATACACATGTTGGCCATTATGAGCGCTTGATTTAATTTTCTTACGAATGCTGCTATACAGTTGAAGTGTTTTTATGTATGCAGGTTTGTACATTTGATTTCTCAAAGGATTCTGTATGCACGTAATATGTAAGTTGACAAGATCAGCCATTTTGGTCTTTCATATCTTTTTGACAGATTGAAGTGCTTGCTTACGCTGTATTTATATTTAAATAAAATATGTAGTACACAGAGTTGGTATTAAATTCAAGGTAAGAAACAAAGTTAAGTGCTCAACGAATTTAAAGAGTGTTTAATGTAGAGATTAGTTTAAATTTTAGCCGTATTTGTTCAAAACGATTCCGAAGTACAAATCTTAATTAGCACTATGTTAGCGAACAGAAGCAAATACATACTTGTATATTAGAAGAAACACACGTTTGGAATCTGTTTGCACATCGTTACCGATTGAATTTTTGAGCAGAATTCATATTGCAATTAACAATAGTATACACTGGACATGGCAGCTTCCAACATGCTTCAAGGTCAGTAAGGATATATGTATATACATAAATCTAATTTTAACTAGGTTGTCGCAGCTTTAGAAAATATAATAGAAGACTTATAATACTGTAAGTGTATTCTTAAAGGTTTCATCACTATTGTTTGTGTTTATATGTGTACATACATACGTATATAAATATGTACCTACATACAAATATTAACGTGAGGAAAGGAAGCTCAAGTCATGCTGAAAAAGTAATACCTTTAGTTTTAAAATCATACACGGATAATAATCAAAAATGCTGTTTAAGTACAAGTTGAAGCAGACACATTTAAAAAGTAGTAAGTGGGAAATTTCAAAGTAAACTGTCAATAAAGCTAACCAAATACCAAACAGGTGCGCAGAAAGTATTAAATAGAAGACCTTCACCATTTTACAATATAAAATTATTGTACAACAATTGTTCAAGTTTAAGACTTGCGCAATCAGCACGTCTTTTCTACTTTAACATAAGGAATCTTGTTTACCCGTTGGTGGTCGCATCGTCCATAACAAGATTCTCCCATACGTGAGCCATTACAGCAGCATCGGCCCTTTTAAAAGGTTTAACATTTTTACAAGTTGCAAGAAAGTTTTATCATAGCAATAATTGCGATATTTTGAAATGTGTTGAAAATCTACAAACTACTTTAAAGCGTAACATACTTACCAAGTGTGTTCGGCATTAAAGCCCACGCGACCGTTGGTACCAACACACACCGTAAAGCTTTTGTCGAACCAGCGATTGTAACCGTTGCCATGCAATAATGTTTTGCCAAATTTATCCAATAATTCAGGATGTGCCAAATCAAATTCATAAGGTTCATCATCTAAAGACAGCACAAAGGCAGCCGACTCTACGAGATTAAGTGAAACGCGATTTACGCCACGCGCAAAATGTGCATTACGTATCTCAGCCCATTTCGAACGATTCATTGTGGTCAACGCAGCCAAGTGCTCCTCACTGGGTAACGGTGTGGCTTTGGAGTTCAAAATTTCTTCCATTTGTATTTGTATCTCACATGGTCGCAAAATACGACCTTTATAATAGATAACCACCTTGAAGTAACGTCCTTTATGCAGTACAACAATGTGGTTGGAATCGCGATAATGAACGATGCGGTCTGTTTCTAAACCGGGCACGCGCACCGTATTGAAAGTGCGTTCGTATTGCCACGAACAAAGCGGTATCATGCTTTGCACCATTATCTGTGTGGAGTGTAGAGCATTTATGTGAAATAGTATACTCGTATAATATTTTTATGCATAATTTGTATTACTTACCGGCTGCAATTCTTGGCGTTCGATCAAACGTCTGAATCCCAACAACAAATAAACAACATTAGCTGCGCGCGCTGCTTGATTATTAGTCAAATTCATAAATATCGCATCAGTGCCATAGAAGTTGCTATTGATCATCAAAGGACTACGTCCGCGCAGATAAACATATTCCTCCCACCAATCGGAAACGTAATTGGTGGCCCACCAACTTTTCAAAGTGAGATACCATTGTAATTTCTTGCCAATTGTGCTCTCGAATTCCTTGGCCAAACCTTCCATACGTGAGTAATTTTCATCATCGAGTAGAGGACGCACAGAACGTAAATACCGTTGCATTGTGTCGTGCAATGCCGGCACCGGTAGTCTCGGCAGTGAACCTTGAAAGCTATAGAGACCTGGTGTATTCCAACTGGATAGTACTTTAACCACTCCCGCCCACACTTTGGTTTTCAACGACACTTTACTGCCCGGCGCTCGCGATTCATACATCCAACCTTTGTACATTAACAGCAATTTGAGCGTGTAACGCATGGTGAAGCATATGGATAGCCAAATAATTAGCGCTGCGCCAAAGCACGCCGTCACTTGCCAATTAACTGTATTGGCTGGCAGATGCACCAAAATCCGATGAACGAGATCGAATGGTACTGCAAATCCAGAGAAATGCAATCCCATGGCAATGGCCGTAATGAGCCATAAGCTTTGTATGTGCGCCGGATAAACACCGTTACGTATGCCGTTCTGTAATTAGAAATTTAGGTGTTTTTGCAAAATTCGTTCGGGTGAAGAAAGTGCGTAGAAGACATACCCGTGCACGTGCTATGCGTTTCTTCCACGAACGCACACCGGAATTCCAGACGAGATTGAGTACCTCCTGGTCATAGTTGATGTCGAAGCCTTCGTGGGTGATGGCGAAGGAAAATGCCACAGCAGAATGGGCTTCAGCCATTGTACAGGCAAATTAAGCCGCTCACAAAATAATTTCAATCTGAGGGATAAACCAAAAAACA